GCGCCCCGCGGCACCGGGACCCGGCCAGGCGTTGGGGCTGGGCACGAGCGACAGTCTGCAGGGAGCTCCGTGCACCTCACACAGCAGGAGCGAAATCCCTGCAAGATAGAGTTTGGTCATTGCCTTGAAAGTGCTTGTCCTGGAGCACAACATGCTCCAGAGTCCAGGGGAATTGGAGGAGCAAATTAGCATCTTCCAGCAAGCCAGCCTGCGTGCCCGAGAAACCAGCGGCCTCCAGGAAAACAAATGGGAGCTTCTCCTGGCACCGCTTTTATCAAGCCCGGTGCCAAAGGGCAGTCGCAAACACGAGTCCCTGCTCGTTCCAATGCCGCTCGACCCTGCGATAGTTCATTAACAAGCTAATTGGGAACACGGCTCGGCAGCCCGTACCGGCTGGCAGCAGCAGCCCCGCGCGCTCGCAATGCCCATGCCTCCCCTCCACAAACAGCCTCGCCGGTCTGCAGGGCTGAGCTCACACAGGGCCCTCTGGGAGAGAACACGGTCCCCACAACCGCAACGGGGACTGCGCATGGAGCGTTATGGGCACCGAGGGGAGACTCAGCTAATAAAAAATACTGCAGGTTATATAACAAACTTGATCCCTGCCAACCCGAGGATCAATTACTTGGAAATGGAGTAGAAATTTCTACCAATAACAAGCATCCAGTGAACAGCACCGGAAGCAACGCAGCAGGACCTGTTACCTGTCCACAGCACAAACACTCCGAGTAGTTTACGAGTGACTCAAGCAGTGCCAGGCGCCCTTCGGCCGTCAGAACCCTCCACGCTGGAGGCCACGCCGTTTGCAGCGGGGCGTTAGCGGCAAACCTCAGCCCTCGCCCTTGGAGCGAAGTCCTGGAGGCTGCGCAGAGGCCGGGGCAGAGCAGGGCGCTCCTCGGGGCACCGAGAGCCCGGGGACAAGCAGCTTCAGAGGAAACACGGCGGGAAGAGGGAGCTAGCCTGCACGAAGCGAAGGGACACAAGGGGCTTCTCATGAGACATTCCGTTTTGGAAACTGAACAAGTTCACACAAAGCGTCACCCCCGAGCAGCCATCCCGCCCGAGCGGGGACACGGGCTCACGCTCACCCCGATGCTGCCCCGTGTGTCGGTCGCGTCCCTGGGCTGTTCCCATGCTGGAGCACAGGGTTGCGATGCCCACGTCCCTCACGGGCAAAACGCCACACCTGGGATTCCAGACTTCTATCGCTGTTCTCACACTTTGCTTTCTCCTCCACATTTAGGAGGAGCAGAGAGCAGCTCCCACTCTGCTCTACATCAACGCCACGATCCAAGAGCCATCTCCGAGGCCGTTTCCGAGGGCCACGTCCCCGGGAAGGCCGGGCTCCCGGCAGCGTCGCTGGGGCAATGCGCACCCCAGAAGGGCCTCGTCCCCAGGGAGGTGGCCCGGAGGGCACCGAGGCCGCGCCTGGCGCTCGGGACCTTGTTTTGGAGCGTCCAACTGGGCAGCCGAGCCAACGCAAGGGACCCCGGTGCTCCTACGCGCGCCCAGCGGGGCTGCGGGCCTGGAAATAAACGCTGCAACACTCCAAATATCTGTACCCTGTGCTTGCTTTATCTTAAAGGCATCGGGCTGGATCGAAGAAGTGCAGAGCCAAACTTGGGAGAGGAAGGAGAGGAAGCAGGGAGGGGGAACGGAGGAAAATTCAGACGCAATCTCGCAAGTTAGAGATCAAAGAAAGACGACTACTTTAGCGAAAATGCAGAGACAGATGGATACAAACTGTAAAGCTTAGCAATAAGTGTGTGACGCCCTGTATGCTGCCATCAGACATGGTGTATGAGACGCAAAACCTGTTAAATTAAGAGAAGTAATCCAATCTGTTATGTTGTATATTTAAGTGCTTTATGAGGCCATTACCATGGAATCTGGGTGCTTCGCATTCCATTTTAAATGAACACATCTAATAAAGTGAGTCACTCAATGGAAGACTCAAAAATAGAAAACTTATAATCACGAGCACTCCAGTTTGCATAACTTGCCATTGGCGCAGCACTGCCGGCCGCGCTCCCGGGCGAGCTCCGCAGGGCGGCAGCGGCACCCGGCCGGGCGGGGAAACCGAGGCAGCTCCCGGTCCCGCTCGCAGCG